CTAGCATATGGTTTGAAGAAAGTACACAAATGTGAACAATTGAGACTGATAGTCAACAACAAACACGGAGACACATAAACTAATGAAATTTATCCGCCTCAAATTAAATAAAGTGAAAAACAGATTATAGTGAAGAATTCATACCGACTTTGCTAAATAATTGAAGGCACCAATTTGGAGAGAAACAACTATTAGGGTGCTTTGAGTTAAAGTTAATGTACACTAATTTCTCAGAAGAAAAATCATTAATGGTACCATTGGAGATATTGGAAATAAAAGACCACATCCTGGAGAAAGTGTAAATCAGAAAGAGGCTCTAACACGATTAATTAACCTAGAAATGAGAGCTACCAATTTCATGTTTAACTGCCGCATCTATAAACAAATTTTTGGTCTGTGTATGGGCTCACCACTCTCATTTCTGTTGGTTGATGTCTAAATTAACACATTTAAGGAGTATTTAAAACGTCAACTCAGCGTCCAATAGTAATTATGCGATATTTGGATGATTACTTCATTCTGTGGTCGCATGGGACAGAAAAATTAAACAATTCCCTTATATTCTTAAACAAAATAGATAAAAAAGTGAAATTTAAAATTGATATGAAGGAGAATTGACACCTATCTTTCTTGGATATGGTCATTCCTTCCGATGAGAATCTCAAGAAACGACTGTTTCGAAAGAAATCGCATGCAGAAATAAGCCTTAAATTCTAATTTCAACATAATTACAGATTGAAAATCGGAATAATCATACATAATACATAAAAACGTGCGGATCGTGATGAGCATATAGCAGGACGGTGATTATGAAATAAAGGCAAGAGGAGTAGAGGAAAACCGATGGGTATGTCTACCCTCCTGGGAATTGGTTCAGAAACTACGGCCAATACTAGGGAAATGGAACATTCGTACAATCCTGAAGTAAAGGACAACTCTGAACACCAGCTACCCAAGCAACCTAAAGAAGTTAACGAAATGGAGTGCCCCGGAGTTTACAGGATAAACTGTAAGGACTGTGAACAAAAATACATCGGAAAGACGGGAAGAACAATTAACACAAGGATCAAAGAAAACCAACGGCTATGTATAAAAATGGATACGGAAAAATCGGAAATAGCTGAACACACCGCCCTGACCGGCCACACAATTGGGTGGAGTGCTACGGAAAGACTGTCCTCATATGGAAGGAAACACCGGAAAACTGAAGATCATGGAGTCCGTGGATATCCTCTTTCAAGGAGACCTGATGAACAGAAGATTGAAAAAAAGACGAGTCAGCAAAAATTTTGTGTACTGCCTGAGCAGACTTGGAGATTCAGAGAAGAATACTAGAAGACGCTTTGTTTAATGACATCTGTTCAATAACAGGAAGAGATATTGGTAAGACTAGGTTCATGAGAGCCAAATGGAAGTCAAGAAAATGCGAGTGCAGAGAGAGGAGCCAAAAATGGAGCTAGCCTGGAGTTCCCGATGTGAGTCCACCTGTGGGATAGTAAATTAAATGCCTGAAGTATACAAATCGTACTCCATTAAAGGTGTTGGGCTAAAGGTCTATGTCCATTTAAAATTCATTAGCCTATGGAAACCCAACTGGGCACAATATCAGTCGGTCCCCAGTGTGTGTTCTTGTATGCATATTTCGTGTGTGCTTGTGTGTAATGAGAAGTGAATGGTGAGATGCCTGACTAGAGAGGTTACCAACCAATATACACGGTTAGGATTAGGTATGAACAGGGTGCCAGATAATGAGAGATAATAGGGTGGGGATCAGTAAAAGGATAACTAGGTGAGTGGTCTGAAGCCTAAGGGGGAGGAAGAGGCCTGGATATGATAATCACCTGTCCTGAGTCCTCAAATCTGGCGTAAATGAGGGCCGGAATTGAGGGTTCATAGGCAGCCAGATTTCAGACAGTGATTTTCATGTGTAACCGGCACTGACTGGCAAGGATGGTGGGCGGGGGCTAAATGAAAGTCAGAAGCCCTGCAAACGGCATCTGAAACTGGTCGTTAAGGTGATTATGTTTCATTAAATCCACTTGAGACGACACGCTCTTAGGCGGCATTAAAGGAAGCGAGAACACAGAATTGTGCTAATAGGTAGATGGACCATATGAAGTGGGGTTGAAAAAAAGAGTTGCAGCATTAGAATGTAAGACGCAAAATAGGGGCAAGATGTGATGCCACAATGACTAAGTAGAAAAGTGATCAAGAAGATTGCCTTTACTTGTCACTTTGGTAGGTGGTAACTCACTACGATGCCGGCCGCCATTTTGGCCACTGTCCCACTTCGATGTATATAAGTCGTCTTGCCTCATTCTCCTTACTTGGTCGTGTTGTCAAGATGACCTAGTTTGACGCACCTTGTCCTAAATCCTATGCTGTAGTAGTTATAATAAATCCTAGCTTTGGTCCGTAGACTTGGTACATTCACAGACATTTTGCTGACACCGTAGTCGGCATCGGCAGGGCGTCTTGCCAGTCGCATAAACAAGCTATAACTAGTCAAAGAAACAAGTGAGATCAGTCCCTTGACTCACTGTGATATCACTGCTTTTTTCGTCATGGCACATCTGCCTACTCCCTAACCTCTTATCTCACTCCCGCCTATCACAAATTCTGAGTTGTTTATATTTAACTTCTCTATAGGTGTCCACACTTGAGTAAGTTTAGTGTGGCGTCATCCCACCTGCTGTTGACCATACTACCTCTCTCGATTTGCTGATCCGACTTGGGCCTCTTATCTGGATCTCCCTCATGGGGGAGAGGTAGACTCATTTCACTCGGTTCCAGGCCAAATATACGTTTAACTTCAGGCTTTATTTCTCAAGCCTATAGTTGCACGTACACTGTCGCCTCATCGAGCACAGCGAATGGGCTCTGATTTTCTCCTGATTAACAATAATTCCATGACCCGGGCACCTCCATTTTGCTGGCCTTGCCGTATGCCTGCTTTCTCCGAGTTTGCTTAAGCAATAGGCAAAGTTATTGCTGTTTATTACATTTCTTTGTCTAAAGATGGCAATGGCGTTCCTGATCTAACGTTTCCTTGTCTTTTCTCCATATGATACCCTTCTTTCTGTTGCCTTCCCTTTTATCTTGTGACGATTCTATGCGATGTCTTACGCTAATTCTGCTCTTTCTGTATCTATTTTTGCAGAGCCCTTGATGCTCTTTAATTAAAATGCAGATTTTTCTCCTTATTAATGCTTGAAAAAGCTGCATGCTATGTAGTGACCTCCCGATCAATTTAATTTGACTATTCTCTAATGATGCGTGGGCAAACTGGTGAAGAGTGTTGTTTTTTTCTTTTATGCTCCTCTGAGAACTGAATGTTTTTAATATTGGTCGTAGTGCTAATAGTATTCTTAAAAAGAGTTGATCATGGATACCTACAGGAGGTTGTTTATGAATTATAATATTCAAAGAAGTAATATAATAAATCTAGTTATGAAGCATGAATATTCCACCGAAACTAAACGACTAAGAAGAAAATGTGATAGATCCCAGGAATATATTGGTTAAATAAGCCGAGTTTATTTCAAAATCGGTAGCCAAGCAGCCGTATTAAAGGTTCCGTCCAAGAATGCACATTACCTAGTTTGTAAAGACTTGAGTAGAGGTCATTCCATCTAATTAAGTCAACTAATATAATGTTATACTATATATAGCAAGAATAATTTTTATTTGAAGGATGGGCCAACGAAATTAGCAATGAAGTATGACTTCATATAAATAAATGTCACTAAGGCGATGAATAACGTAAAATACGTCTGCCATATTAAGCATCCAATTTTACGAGGAAAGGATATACTGCTGAAATTCTATCCCTCAAAACTTCAGTCAAACACAGAATCTTACACATATACAGATGTCGGATGGGTTTAAGCCTCTGTATTTAGCTGCCATTGAAGAGGCCTGGAGCTGCTTTGCCCTAAAACAAGCTTATTGCATGAACCATTTAGAGAAGGGAATTTTATGCATAAAATATTCTAGTTGCTAAGATGCTCGTATACTCTACCCAATTTGGCATACTGGAGTATAGTAGGCCGTAACATAAGGTTATTTCAAGTTTAAAAAGTAGGTACATTATTTCAAATTATTGAGTAATGAATAACTTTAGTGAACTACTTAACATAACTGTAGTCTTTACGTGTGAACCACTCTAATGTAAGGACTGCGCTGTCCAAGGTGCTTAAAATTAATCGGAAAAACATACTGGCACAGATTTTACTAGAAACTGATTGGAATAGTCTCCCAAATGCCATAGTCTTTTTATGTTTTATGGATGCAAAATTGCCCATAAATCGAGGTTCAGAAAGTAAATTTTTTTCTAAATCAGTGATGTCTCAAGGT